TTCGCCGACGCTGATGATTTGCCAGCCTGTGATTTAGTAAGATTTTCATACTTCACATACTTTAGTCGCAAACCACATACGTTAGCACGCCGTGTGAAGACGATGGTACGCATTGGATAATCAAAGTTCCGAAAGATCCTACTGTTTGCAATCTTTCCGAACCCTCATTCCCTCGTCTCGCGAGAGACTGCGGTATTTTCGGTTCATTCACTTATTTTTAAAGGAGAGGTATGTCCCGCTGGTGAGGCTCTCGATATCGAAACGCATCGATGTGAAAAATGTAAGATAGGGACAGCGGCACCCGGAGATGTTTATGCTGTCTCAAATTGGTCTGTTATACCAAAAGGCTTTTACTCCGATGTTATTTCTGGGAACGGGGACACAAAAAAGATGTGTTCTAGGTAAGATTGTAAAATTCGAATGTGTATCTTTTTGTGCCGCTGCAGACTGCGGAAGGGTTTTCATCGATTTCCGAGAGAATATTCCTTCTCTACTTTGCTAATGTCGCTTTTCTACTTCTGGATTTTATTTGTAAAACTGTCCTATCAGCCTAGGTTAACATTTGAACTATGGAAAAATTAAAATTTCTACAACTATTACAAATTGTACATATGTTTCGCCTCCCCTGTCTGTCTTGGTCCTGCGACCGTGCCCTTAGGCTTTGGCGCAATTTCGAAGAGTCTCGGTGCATTTCGCATATAGTTATTTATACAAATATATGCATATGCACACAACCAAACATTTTATGATGACCTATGCGTTTGTTGTCAAGTCCCACAATGTCTTAATATGCTTCTGACGTTTAGGGGGTAGTTGGATTGTGCACTTTTGCATAACTCGCAACTTTAATATTGCTTACTGTTAAAAAAGGGCACAAAGCACCTCTGATCAGTGTAGATATTTGATAAAAGTACAATTTGTGCATATTCATGTGTTTTACGTAGGGCGGCTGATTTACTTAAATGTGGCCTATAAGTCGGTGCTTTCCCGGTGTTGCGCTCTACCACGTTTCCTGCGACCCGCTGAACCAGTCAATTGCAGTTTCGTAAACCACCTCAGTGGGGCGATTCCGAAAAATGGTCTTTTTGTTAGATAGCCTCTCCAAACGACCGCTCAATTGACCGATTTTTCTAGCAGAAGCGGAGCCACAGATGCCGTATGTGCAAAACGGTTATGAGATTCCTGACGAACTTCTCGTTTCATGATTAGCTGTGAGTCATAGAGAGAAAATTGATTTATTTACAAACGTACCGCCTGTTCTTGAGGGTCGCCTGTATTCATCCTCCAAATGAAGTCACCATAGGCCTCGGTGTTGAGCGAAGGTCTATACAACCCCTGTTGACTTTTGACTGCCCGCTTATTTTTAATCAACAATCGTTTTCAGTTGCTGCGTCTTACCGAGAAGCAGTTGCTGAACAAGGCAGTCCATTCTTTTATTTGTTGAATTTCAATCAACTGAAGAACTGGCTACCGCATAGGCGCTTATTCATTTTCCATCCTCAGGGATGAGTCTTGTTTTGCCGTTGAGAGTCTAAAGCAAACGTCAAATAGAACCTGCTTACTAAGTCCGATGTAAGTCTGCGAGCGCTCCAACAAAACATATTAACTGCACGGTAAACCTACCTTGTTCTCAAACCTCTGTCTAATTCCTTACCGTACTGCAGAGGCGATCTGTGTCTTCAGCCCTCTGTGCAGCTCATCAAGCAAACCTCGTCTAAGGTTCAAATGGACATGGCAGCCTTTCTTCAGGGGCTTTCTAATGCACGTTCGAGACTTTACATTAGCTTACGCGGTTCCTTGGGTGCCTCTAGATGAGTTTGTTTCCGTTGGCAGTCCAAAATAAGCATTGAATAGAACCGGCTTACTGATATAAGGTACATGGTAAAGCCTGAAGAGGCCTATTGCATTCGACGGAATAAGTGGATATGTTTTCGTCATTTCTTAGTTTTCTATTTGTTAGAGGTATTGGTACTTACTGAAATATAGGAGGTTGTGTTGGTCAACCTACCAGACGCCTTTCTGGCGTCTTTGTCCTCATCAGAGTTCGATGTAAGTCTGCGAGCGCGTCAAAAAGTGTACTTACTGAATGGGACACCTATTTTGTCCTCAAAGTTCTGCAAAATTCTTTGAGCTCTGTACTGCGGAGGCGATCTGTATCTTCCGCTCATAGCCCGAATGCACATAGCACCCGTTTTTCAAGGACTTGATAATGCATTAGCGTCAGAGGGTCTTTGGCCACTTCTGGCTGGTAGGTCTACAACATATTAGAATCCAATCCGTTACGGATAGTGACAACTGCACATCAAGACAGACCTTTTGCCGCTCTACAAGATAGTACTTGACTCCAGCAGCATTTGTACTTCGGCCAACCCATTCTTTGTTTGCACGCGGAGAAACTTATCCGTAGGAAGTCCTGGGCTCAATTTAAGCATTTGCCTTTTCGCTGGTTGATCTGCATCTATGGATGGCGTTGAGGGGAGGCCGGGCAATCAGGTACATCAATGCCCGTATGTACCACTTAATGTGCTTGTCTATAGTGCTCTGGTGATATCCGAAGTAGGAACCTTTCATATTTATTTCCAATAGGCAACACATAGCAGTATAGCACCTTTAGCATCAAACTTGTTTCAAGAGAATTTACTAGGCTGTTAGAACTAGTTGGTTATCAAGTTGCTTTAATTATCAATCCCACAAACCAACATAGGCAACTATAAAATACGTCAAAAATATATCTTACTACGTGATATTGAAGAAAATATTACTCGACTCTTATAGGCACTCGGAGAATGCGCGACGTCTACTACGCAGCACGCTTAGCCGACAAGTTCCTTTCGTGTGAATAACGTAAACAACTAATATATTCAGAAATCTAACTACCATTCAAGTATTCCTAGACGGCAATAATATACGAGAAATATTAGTCATTTTAACTTAAAAGGCCTATTTAGGCGTATTGCCTCTGCATGCATGAATATCAAAGTGGTTACGCCCTGCATAGCCTTCTGTCAACTCCGCCTAACAAGGAGCAGCGTAAATAGTGTTTTGAATTTATCATTTTTATTGGGCTGACTTTCGACTTTTTCATTTTTGTTATTGTTAAAATTCCTTAGCTAGCTACTGCCAGCTTTCAGAACCGACATTTTGACAGGCGGATGAATTACTTGACAATGTCATACTGCATCTTCTACACACTATTCATTAATGGTCACAACGTTTGACATTAAACGTCTTGTTTCTCACAGTTATTTTGCTGTTGCAGTTTTGGATGGTTTCCAAGAAAACGCTATCTTCTTGGAAATTCAAGCGCTTTGTGTGCGACGGAGCTGACCATGGAAAACTACAATATAAAGGAGGGCGAGGTCATCTTCGAGTATAAATTCACGGACTCCGTTGCACTGGCTTATTTTACGGTAAGGCATAACTTCATCCAGCAAATGCATTTGTGATATCACATGACGTCTTAATTAAACTGCTTTGCACCACAAAAGCCTCGAGTGAACAGACTGCGTACAATTTTAATTGGGATATCCCGTTGTCACTTTACTTGCTACTACTTATCAGAATCGTTAGGATTTAAAGACGCTGATGGTTCTCGGAACGGTTACTTTGAACCTAGGTTTTTTCAAACTCTTATTTGGTTCTCAATGGGCCCCGGACTGTTTTGTATGTGAAATGCTTTATTTTAAAATGGCTGAATTTATGCAAATAAATAATATTCTTTTTCTAACCTCAAGCTGGCGGTGTTTCATCTTACGTTTATTTATTCCCTCCCCCCCCCTTGTATCACTCTATTTTGGATTCGGAATCGGTACAAGCAATTAAGTCGCTTTTTCCCTAATTATACCGGATATAAGTGCAGCTCGGAATTATTCGTAAAATTTCCAAGTCAATGCTATACTTTTTCTAGTGGTTAAACACGTGATTCTGTTTTTACAGGTGCGCAACGACAGATGCGTCCTACAGGATGGAAAGAGTCATGTCCTACGACGCAGTTCCAGGCACACGTGGCGTACATTTCAGACAAAAGTCCCCGAGGGTTCCTCGACACTGCATTGGTATCTCTTCTCCGACTACAGCTCAGGCTATGAGCCAGTAACCTCGGAGTTCAAGCTTCGGAATGTGACGGTCACCGGACGATCAGCCCTCATGGAATGTCCTGAGTGCGAGGCAGGCTACTACGCCGCAACGGAGGGAGCAAGCCACTGTTCCATATGTCCAAAAAACACCTTTTCAAAGCAGCGAGCTTGGGAATGCACGCCCTGCCCGGAGGGAGAGTACGCGCGTAAGTGCCGCCGTAAAGACGACATGTGTAGGCTATTTAAAATACTGGGGCTTGCTAAAAGATTCTCACCTACAGTAGATGCGCTAACTCATGAAATGTTAACCAACATTCTGAAATGCGTTTTCGTTTCAAAAAGCTTACTTAAGTAGTGTAGTAAAATTAATTATTGTGCAGCATAATTCTATAATAATTCAGGTTCTTCGGAGTGCCAGCTTTCGAACGAACTTCTTTTCGGCCGCATGCGAAAACCAAACTCTGGGACAAATGACTACTTACGTGGCATGAATTTTTTTCGCTGATTCTCAGAGCCTTTTGAAAATTAAATTATATTTCCTGGAAAATATGCATAAAACTATTCGTTCTTTTACTGACTTGGTAGAAAATGATGTCGTCTCCATTTTTATGCTAGAAGGAAGGGTATAATTTGATATAAAAAGTTTCTAATTGCGAGTTTGTTTAATACCATCAAGTGCCCATCCATAAAACATCGTGTCTCTGCGTTTACTAATGTAGCCTGTACAGTTTACAATGTGACTCAAGTCCACTGCTAAAATATACGAATCCTTTATAATCTCCTCTTAATACTGCTGAGAAATGTATGGTTTTCCGCACGCGGAAAATGTTCGGTTTGTAGTTTTTAAAGCGTGACTGCAAGTGTAACGGCAGGTTGTGTTCAATATTATCAAGGTATCGGAAAACTTTTTTAAAACCGAACTACACCCTTCCTTCAAGTATACAGTTTGAAGGAGACGTAATTATCTACCAAATGAGTAGGAGGATAAATGATTTTATGCATCTTTTCCATAAAATATAATCTAATGTTTGAGGGCATGGAAAGTCAGCGAGAAGACTGCCTGCTACATAAGTGGTCATTTTATACAGAGTATTGTTTTGGCATGCAACCGGAAAGAATTTCCTCCGAAAGGCGTCATCCTGTGATAAATGAATTATTATAGAATTATGCTGCATGATGATTAATTTTACAACCCTGCCTAAGATATATTTTTGGAACGAAAACGCATTTCAGAATTTCGGTTGACAATTAAGGAGCTAGCAAACCTACTGTACTTTCTGGCCATGCCGAATAGCTGTTATACAAGACAAACACTTGGTTGTATTTATCAGCCTTTTTACCTGTTTATGTCCTGGGTTTCAGATAATAACTCGATTATCAGAATGTAGACAGGCCTTGTTGCCCAGAAAATATTGTGAAAAAACATAAGAAATGTTTACATTGAATGTCTACACCATCTTACTACTCTACAGGGTGTCTCGCATATCATGTTTTTAAGATGTTAAAAGTTTTAAATTCACTTCCTAATGGTAGTGTCACCGACTTTCATACGCTTCTCAGTATGGATTCTTTCCCATAAAAATTCGTTATGTACGTTGCAACTCACAGAAACTTTGTTGGTAGTTGTCTGTAGACCTACGGTTTGGTTTTCACTGCTTACGGCGGAGATAAGTAATTCCAGTTTTAATAAATGGCAGGCAGAATGAAAAACATTCTTCTGGTGTTTTGCTTGACGTGCGACAGTCCTATGTTTCTTTTCTGTCGAACTCCGTTTTGAACGGTAGTCACCATCTACACGCCTGAAAAGCCATGCATCCATACTCTGAGCCCCTTGTGTCGCTCCCGATAAAGCGAAATTCCTAATCATTCGTGCTGTGTCGAAAACGATTGTTGTTAGCAGAATCTAGAGCTTTTTTGTACTGGTGACGGATGCGGGCAACTAGAACTACGGTAATTAATTCGGACTGACTTCGCAACCATAAAATCTGCGCCTGCGTTCTTGGATTCGTGCCTTCCAGTGAACAATGCAAAATTTTCTCCTTTAGTTGACAAGCTAAATAATCGACTCCTCAACTCTGGTTGACGTATTAACATGTATCACCATCTATGCCCTGTGACATTTTGCCTAGATTCGAGAGTGCATACTTCTTCGATATCTCTTAGATCGCAGTAAAAGCTGCGTGTTTTATGGTTATTTTTATACTTTCATGTTCTTATAACCCTCCCCCACATTCCAATACCCTCGTGTATAAACACACTGTTTGAACACTTCGCGCAAATATACTTAACGCACATCAGTACTGAGTCTCAAATGGTATATACGTTTTACCGGGATTATCTCGGTAGTCAGTGGAATGCAGTCAGTCATACTCCGGACTCAGAATCTTTTTAAACTGGCCTGCAGTAAAGAGTTCAGAAGCTGGACGAACCACTCCTTCCATCTAAGGATTGTGTCCGATAGTGAAGCTATCATCCCACCACCACATGTTGATGGGTCCAAAGACTGACCCGTCTTCCAGCGGCGTGTACTTTTGCTGTCGGCTGAAGTGCATTTTACGCTGAGAGTTTTTCGCGGTTGTGACAAGCCAAATGCAGTGCTTGACAACGCCACAAACACTTGGCAGCTGATTAGATCGTACCATTAGAGATCTGACCTCTGCGGCGTCTTCACCTGACGCAGTTCAAACAATTTTTCCTCGATACAGAAGAAACCGCAACATTGATTTTCGTTTCCTCGCACGTCTTCTCGTCTTGATGTTATTCGAGACGCAGTCAAGACAGTAAATACTCCGTCGCTCGGAGTACTGGTGTCTGTCGGCATCGCTGCCAGGGTCCAGCGCTGGGCCGACACATTGAATTCTAACCGGTATGTAGTCGAGTTAATCTTGAACGTGACTTTCACCGGGCGACAAAAGGGGGGTATTAATGGCGGCTGCGTGATAGAGAAGACTGAAATTGACATGTCTTTCACCGTTGGCGCAACCGTTCTCCGCTGCGTTGTAGCCAAGGGCTCGCCTTAGAGAGACAGCACACTTCCGACCAGCGACGAAAGTCACGCATGTGGACTCGATTGAAATTCGCCTCAGAAGGACCCGCCCCCCCTTGGGTGTCCACATTCATGTTTAGTTTGCTGACAACGAGTGCGGAGAAGGATGTACCGACAATGATGACCTCTTCTGTCTGATTAGCAGTCGTCAGACAGCCATACCCAACGCCAGGTTTGGAGGACCTGGGGTTCGAGTCTGAATTCTTTGTTCATTGAGAGTTAAGTGGTCGAAGGCTTTATTACTGAGCAGCGGACCTTTTTCCCTGTCCGTTTTGATTGTAAATATTCATCAGGCTGCTTATCCGAACTCGATTTCGAACCGCAGTTTAACCAAAACAGGTCTTGATCATGACCGACTGATTAGTTGTCATCGGTCAGAAATGGCCATCCTCCGGTCTCCCTTGTATTTACCGGCACTGCCCTCTCTACATACATCAGTAATCGCTATGTGACTGCCTACGAAGGCTCTAGACTGAACCCCAGGGCACAGCGGGATTGGCGCGTCCCGTTACCCAAACGGTCAGCGTGCACCCACATAAAGGCATTCGTTGTTGAAATAAGTTGCGAGCGCACAGTATTAATCTTAAACTGATTGTTCAGAGCCATCGCGAAGTCATTTGAATCGGAGTTTGTTATGACTCTGCTGTGAGGGAGGTAATGCCATTTTTTGGTTCCTGACATCTTAATGTTGTACCATGGGCGGGGCGCCGTCCGCATTGCAATGCTGCGACAAGACGACCCTGTGTCGGTATGACTTCTCACGTCCCAGCGTACCTAGTGCAGTTTTTTCTCCCCGTTGGAAAGGTTAGCCTACGGGAGGGACTTGTTGTATGACTGTACACACCCGCCGTGTCACAGAGGATTTACCGGACGCTGCGACATTTTACAGGGCAAACGGTTACCGGGCCGCATCTCACCATGTCATATTGACGCTGCTCTTGCTGTTTTTAATTGGCTGACAGCGGATATGACATAGCGAAGTGAGGCAGGGGTCGCTTTTCTCCCCGAAGAGTGTGGAAGAAGACTTAGGTAGCTTGTCACGACTTATTTAAGGTGCGAACCTGATCCTTGCCTTGCGCTCCACAATGCCCTCCAAACACGAAAATCCATTCTCCCTTCTCTTGTTCTAGCTCTAGCGGGGACAGGCGTTCAAATATCTCATCGGACAGATAGGCCACTTACAGTGAGTGACCGATCTCATGAAATGTTGGGCGAAATTCTGAAATGCGTTTTTTATTTGGAAGGACTACTTAGGTGGCGCTGTAACATTGATTATCATGCGGCATAATAGGTCGGACTTGCCAAGATTTCGGGTTTTGAATGCACTTCTGTTCAGCTTTCTGTAGGAACAACACTCGGCAACAAATGACTACTTTAATAGAATGCATTTTCCCACTTATTTTCGACGGTAGTATAAATTCAAATATATTCTGTAGAAAGCACACACAAGAAATCGAATTCTCTTCACATTTTATACCCGAAGAAAGTGTATATTTGGGTTTTGAAAAAGTCTTCCAATTCCCAAATAATTTTAAGCCAGATCAGCCGTTAAATTAGCGTTAAGCGATTTCAGTCTACATGCTTTCCGCGTAGGGATAATCATACATTCCTCTATGCCTTAAAGAAGATACCATATAGATTTCACGAAATTTTACATTGGATGCGGATCATGTTAAACATTTCATGAGGAGCATTAGTAAACGGACTGGTACGATGCTGCATGAATGGACATCTCACGGTCTTAAAAATTCTCATAATTAGAAACCTTCTTAAAACCTGAATACACAATTTCTTCGGTTATAAAATGTGAAGACAATATGATTTTCTACCGAACAAGTAGAAGAAAGCAGACGTTTGTGCATGTTTTCTAGAAAATATATTTGGATTTATAAGACCACAGAAAAACAGTTCGAGAAATGCATGCTACTTAAGCAGTCATTTTTCGCCGAATGTGGTTTCTGCAGTTGGTTCAAAAGAATTGCATTCAAAAGCCGACATCTCGGTCAGTCCGGACTATGCTACATGATAATCGATATTACAACCCCACCTAGGTTATCCTTTCAAAGTGAAAACGCATTTCAGAATTTCGGCCAGCGTTTCAGGAGATCGGTCACTCACTGTATATCGAAGAAGTAACATTTAACTGCCACCGTAACCAAAATTCTCATGGATTATTTTAAGGCATAAAAGTGACTTGTTTTGCTTTTTGATAATTGGGCCTGCTTTCCGTACGATTTCGATACTATCCTGGACGACTGGCCGCAATTTTTCTTGTATAGGATTGGGTGTTTCAGCGACGTGAACGCGCCACATCTTACCTACCCCAGCGTTTCAGTTTGTCAACAGCATCCTCCGCGTTATCCCCTGAAGGTCGACTTATTTGTGCAAACTTCTGCCAGAAGACGCTGGCTTCTATGATGTTCACCGGCGGTTTTACACAGTGCAACACATCGTATTTTCCCTTTTTTTCTCGCAATGCAGAACAAAGGTTCAACAACACAGTGAAATCACACTGCATTATTCAGAAGAAGTCGGATTTTTTTAAATATGGCGCATTTATTGCAAAGACGAGAGCCCATCGAGTGCAGTCTACGACTCCTTTCAGCATTGCTCTTGCGGCACATAGACACGGGCAAGGTGGGTGTCTGGCTACGAACTACTCCTGTCAGTCTGTCTGTCCTCGCGCGTGCGTGATTGGCTCAAAGGAGCCTTGAACTAGATCGGCACTTCTAAGTCCACTGCCAGTCAGCGGATCTGGGTAATGAGGTAGAAAAGAAAGCCCTGCTAGCTCCTCAGGTCCCCAAACCATATGAGACTACAGCTGAACCAACAGTATCTGGCCCACCTCATAAAATATTGATCGGAATTCCGAAATGTGTTTTTAACTGGAAAGGTCGCATTCAAGTACCAATTATCGCACAGCATAATTCCAACGTACTTCAGTCGTACCAGGGCGCCATGCTGTGGTCTGTATAACTCACAGCTGGAGAAAATTACTGCTTAGGCAGTGTCGAATTTTTTCATTGATTTTCGATGCCATTATAAAGCCACAAATTATTCACAGAAAAAACGCACAAAATATGATTTCATGCACCCACCTAGTAGCAAATTATGACTTCTGCGTAATTTTAAGGAAGGAGTAGTTTTAAATTTTAGAAAAAACTATTTGAATTCCGGAATAATTTTGAACTCACCTGCTGTTGCGCCTGAGCCTACGTTGTACAAACTACAGGCTGCATACGATCGATGTAAGAAAAAAGCACTTCTCCTCGAAGTTCATATATGTTTCCTGAAAATTAGCCGTAAATGCGGAACATGTTGTATACTTCTTAAGCAGTATTGAGATACTGACAGGCCCGACGTTGTATGAACGGATATTTCACGATCTCACGAAATGTCGCAGTTATAAACGTTTTAGACCGAAGTACACCCCTCGTTCAGGTACACAAATTGTAGTTTGCTAACAAATGGGTATAAAAAAGATTGTTTTATGCATGTCTCCTACAAGACATATCTGAAATTAAAAAGGCATCCAAAGCAGATAGTTGTTTTTGGCAACGGTAGACTGGAGGACCCACAAATAACTTGAACTTGTCTGTGGACCGAATCATACGTCAAATGGTTTTAGAGGGGGTTTTATGGGTGGGGCAACACACCAGGTGGAAAGCAGCAAGACACAGAAAATTGATGAATTTCTGTGCTTTCATTTGACAAAGAAAGTGAGCGCAATAATTAAAAAATAAACAAGCATCAATTCTCCAAAAAATAGCGGACTTTGAACAATTCGCCGCTGTTAACTGTACATTTAGTTAAGAAGGGAAAGAAATTTCAAACAATGGGAACGGTGAATAATAAATAGTGTTTACAGTCACACTGAATTTTAGGATACAATTTTGTAGTCGCCATCTACTTATGGGTCCTACACCCTATCGTTACCTCATTTTTTTACCGAATGTGGTTTTTGCAAGCGACCGGAAAAAAGTTCATCCGAAACCTAATACCCTGGTGTGACTGAAATATCTTAGTCTTAGTAATCC